ACAGAAAGTGCACTGCTTGGGCCGAACAGAAACCTCTCGGGGTTGGACTTGCGGCCAGTGGGGAGCGGGCAGGAGGGAGGGGCGCACTCACGCCATGGACTGGTGGAAGTCAGACAGGTCCTTCTGTGTGGCGTGGAGGAACAGGATGGTGGCGGCCTGAGGGCTCAGCGACCCGTCCCAGGACGTGCTGCCCGCCTGAGGGGACAGGCAGAGGGAGGGGTGTCAGGGCTGGAGGGCAGATCTCAGCCCTGCCCAGCCCCGGGCGGGCGGTACCTGGTGCTGGGTGACCTCGTGGGACACGAGCTGCTGCAGCAGGTGGAGGTGCACCGTGTAGCTGGGCTGGGAGCGGCTGGCGGCGGTGGCTCTCTGCGGTGGGTTCAGGGCGGCCGTGAGCAGAGCGGCCCGTCCAGCCCAGCTGGGCCCCTGGGTGGCTCCTGGCCCCGGCCCCAGACCTACCCGCTTGTGAATGAACTGGAACTGCAGGTGGCACTGGCCGCGGTCCGGGTAGGTCTCGGTGCACGGCTCCAGAGGGTACCACTGGTCCTCCCGGCAGCGCAGGTCCTGGCGGGCCAGGCGGTGGGCGATGCCCGTGCCCGTGAGCGGCGGCGGGGAGGCGATGGCAGGCAGGCCTGGAGCCCCTCCCCCGAGCCCCTCCCAAACCTGCTTCTGCCTCTCCCCTGGGCCTCTTTCCCCACCCCACTCACCTGTAGCCTCAGAACCACATTCCCCAGGAAGTCATCCTGGCCCTTATCCTTCCGAGCCTCCTTGAAGATCCTGTCCCAGGCAGGGTGCGTGAGGAGGGGGAAGGGCCGAGAACCTGAAGGGCCCCGGGGTGGTAGCAGCCCCCGCCACCCACGGCCAAGGGGGCCAGGACGAAGCCCGCCGCCCAGCAGCTGGTGCGCATGCGTGTGTGTGTGTGTGTGTGCGTGTGTGTGTGCGCATGTGTGTGGGGGGCAGAGGGAGCCCCCACACCTTCTCCAGGAGCCCCTCGGCACTCACCTTCGCAGCCCATGCAGGTCTGTGAGCTCCCCGAGCTTCTGCCGGACGGACTCCACCGTGTCCAGGTCCCTGGTGGGGCGGAGATTTGAGCCGGAGGCCGGCCGGGAGGGCGTCCTGGGAGTCCCTGGCCCCTTGGGCGGGAGACCCCGACACCCTCCCTGTCCCCTCTGCCTTCCCCGCCCCCGCCGCTGGGCGTGCTCCTCACCACATGTCCAGGTGGAAGCTCGAGTTGCTTAGGTCCTCAAACTCCCTGCAGGGAGCAGAGGGCGCGGGTGAGGGCCTCGGAGGGCAGGCCACGTGGGCCAGGCCACAGCCGCCCCCGCGGCCCGGGCCTGTCTCCGAAGCCGCTGTCCCCAGCGGGCTCGCCCACTGTGGAGCCTTAGCCCTGCCCAGCCGCATCCCCCTGCTTTAAGGGAAGGCTCCGGGCCGCCCCCTAGGTGAACCCAACCCGCTGACCCTCCGCACCCGCCAGCTCCTGGAGCACCGGTGCCACCGCGCAGGCCCCTCTGGCTCCCCTGTCCCTCGGGAGCGGGCCCCTCCTCGGGTCAGGCCAGGCCCCCTCCCTCCTGTCCCCACCCAGGCCAGGAGTTCCTGCTGATGTCCCTGGCTGGGGGACCCCTGCCCCGGGGAGTAGCCCGGGACAGGGCGGGGCTGGGGCGGGGACGTACAGGATGAAGGTCTCGTCCCAGACGGGGTTGAGCGTCTGGGTGATGACCTGGGTCCGGTGGGTCTGCTCCTCGGGGATGGTGTGCCTCACCACGGCCTTCTGCGGCCGCCGCGGCCCCGAGCTGTCCCCCTGCCCACCTGCCCCCTGCTCGATGCCCAGCAGGCAGTAGGGGTCACTGAACCCTGGGGAGGACGAGAGGACAAGGCCACCAGGGCGTTAGCTGGGCTCCTTGGGGGGAGGCTCCCTCATCACCCACCCCCCACCCCAAGGGCAGCGCCCCTCCCCCGCCCCATAGACTCCAAGGGCACGGAGCCATTAGCAGGCTGGGGCCGGGCAGACCTGGGGGGGCATTTGGGAGAGCGGGGCTCCCACCCAGAGCTCTGGGACAGCCGTTGAGGGGGAGGAAGACCCCGCCCTGCCTGCTCACCGCTGACATCCTTGCCCAGAATGCCCTTGGCCTGTTTCACCGTGGCCTTCAGACAGAACGTTGGCTTCTGGAGGGAGAGAGGCGCGGGCACCTGAGTCCCAGAGGGCGCTTCCCAGCCCCCGCCCTCCCCCAGGGTGGCTCTGGGCCGGCGCTACCTCGAGCTCCTGGACCCGCTGTAGCGTCCGCTGGTGCTCCTCGGGCTCCGCGTGGAAGGCCTGGTGGGGGGGCAGGAGTGTGGGAGACTGGGGGCGCGGGTCTGGGAGTGTGGCCGGCCGGGAAGGAGGACCCCAGGGTGCGGGTTGCAGCGGCAGGGAGGGGGCGGCGTGGGGGCTGGGCTCACCTCCTGCAGGTACCGCAGCAGCTCCGAGGCCTCCGTCACGTGGGTGGGCTCGGGCTTACCCAGGCGGTGCAGGACGGTGTAGAGAGCTTCCTCGTAGAGCAGGGCCCGCTGAGACACGGCAGGGTCAGCTCGGGGCCCGCATCCACCCCCCACGAGGTCTGAGGCCCGCCAGCCCCCCGGGCACCAGCGCCGCACGCCCAGCGCAGGGACAGAGCGCCCACACAGGCAGGGTCGGGGAGAGGGCTCTGGCTGGCAGCTGCGGCCAGCACCCCTCCGCGCCCCCAGCACCCCGATTCTTACCTCCTCGGGAGAGAAGTGGTGGGACGGAGGCGTGATCTGGGGAGCAAGGTGAAAAGACAGAGTGTCCAGGCAGCCCAGGCCGGCCTGGACCGCAGGGACGGCCCTGCGCAGCGCAGGCCCGGGGCCGCCAGCCCCCCCCCCGCCGCCTCCCTGTGACGCACACCTGTTCCTGGGGCAGGCCGCCCCGGGCTCCGGCCCCCAGGTCGCCTTCCTCGGCCCCCGGGTCGCCTTCCCCGGCCCCGGGCCTGCTCTGGCTGAGGTCCATGGGCGCCCAGCTACCCCGGCAGCGTGAGCGCTCCGCACGGGGGGCCCCCACCTCCTTTCCTTCCCCAGAGGAAACAGCACTGCTTATCGGGCGGCCACGCTCGCTCACACCCCAGCGGCGGAAGTGAGGCCCAGCGGCGGAGGTGGGAGGCCGGGGGTCACGTCAGGCAGGCCCAGGGGTATCTCCACTCGTCCCCAAGCAGTCCGGCCCCACCCCCCAAGCAGTCTGGTCCCAGCCGGGACCCCCCCACCCTCCGTCTGATGGAGCCGGTGCCTTTGGCCCTGGAGCAGCGTGGTGGGGCAGGGGTCAGCTCCACCAGGGAGAAGGGGGGGCCCGGGGCCCGGATCTGAGGCCCAAGGGTGGCCCAGAGAACACGCAGACCCTGTTGTGCTGACCCAGAAGGCTCTGCCCAGGGGACAGGGGAGGCGGGGGAGGGGACCACACCTTCAGCCCCAGCCCGAGAGAGGTGGCGCCTGCATGCCAAGACCACAGAGCCCCACCCCGGCCGGCGCTTCTCCTCCATGAGGTCACTCCTACCTCCTGGGCTGCTGGGGGCAGGGGCTCTTGTGCGTCTCGGACCCTGCGGCGCCTTATCTTGATGGCTTGGCGCAAGAGGGGAGGGCGCCGCTGGGAGTGGGACAGGAGTGTCGCCATGGTGGCCAGCTCTGCCCTTCCCCTCTGCGGTGCCCGCTGCCTGCCGCTGGGTGAAGATAGTGTAGCCACAGGATTATGCAAAGCGTCCAGGGGAGGGGCGAAGGGGGGCGGGTGGGGAGAGGGACAGGCCAGGGTTTCACCACCCCAGAGGCCCAGCAGGCCCCTGTGCCTCCCTAACCCCCCCCCCCCCGCCACTGGCCGGGCGGGGATCCCGGGAGGGGCTCTCCCTGGCTGGAGGTGGAAAGAAGGTGGATGCCCAAGGTGGAAGAAGGTGGCTGGAGGTGGACACAGGGGGCCGGTCTGCCCTCATCCCACCCTCCCACACAGCCTCTGGGAGGGCCCAGTGCCCCCAGCAGGGGGCGTCAGGGCAGGCCAGCACGGGCCCTGCCCCATCCCGCTGGGCCAGGCCGGGGACTGAGGGAAGCAGCCCTGAGTGGGTGGGCTTCTCACCCACAGACTTTCCTGAGTGGGCCCCAGACCCGGGGTGAACGTGGGCAGGGCACAGGGCGGGGCCTCCAGAGAGGTGTCGCCCTGGCGGGCAGGCAGGCAGGCAGGCAGGCAGGCAGCCAGAGGCTCAGCCTGCTCCACTCCTCAGGTGACATTCCACCCAGGTGACGGCAAGCTGCCCCAGGCAGGGGTGGCCCTCGGCCCCTGCCCGCACAAGGACGGCCAGGGGAGCGCCCCCTTCAAACGCCCTTGTCAGGGGTATAGCCTCCCCCCGGAGCTCCGGAGAGGGCCTGGCCAGGGAAGAGCCTGGCAGGCAGCGCCCGGCCTCTCTCGGGAGGGCCCCTTGGGCCAGAAGAGAAAGGACAGGGGACACGAGCGCTTGGCTTTCTCTGCGCTGATGTGGTGCCTCCCTCCGGGCCCCAGCGTGGGTGCGGGTGGGGGTGGCGGCCAGGCCTGGGCTCGGACTTTGGCTGTTTCCGAGCTCCCCCCTGGTCCCCCCTGTGAACCTGGGCACCAGGGCTCACAAAGAGGGGGGTGGGCAAGGGCATCCTGCAGGGGCCGGCCTGGCCGGCTCACAAGCCTGGACATGCTGCTCGCGGCCACGCTGGCCCCGGGGCAGCCAGAGGCAGCAACTCCATGCGCAAGCCCGGCCCTGTCTCCCAGGCCTCCCATCCGGGCAGTCAGGGGCCGCACCAGGCCCACGGGGGACTCAGTGGGTGGGCACAGTTGCTGAGTAACGGCCAGGGAACGGACACTGGAGAGGCCTGAGCTCCCTGGGGCCAAGTGGGCCGTGAGAACAAGGGACCCTCACACACAGCCCAGGGAGCACTCGCCCCGCCTCCCCCCACCGCCAGCCCCCCTCCCCCGGGCTCGCCCTGCCCCCACACAGAGCCAGACACGGTCCAGTCACTTCGTTTTTACTGCTTCACACTTCCAGCAAACAAGTCAAGGTGCAAACAGGGTTTATTTCACATTAACATATATTAACTGGACTTTCTCTTTTTGGTCAAATAAATAGGGAAGTCTCTTTAAATAACCATCTCCTCACTTCGCGGCAAGTCCAGGGCACAGCGCCGACCAGGCGTGGAACGTGGGCGGGGGGCGGGGTGCAGGCCGGGTCCCAGGGGTCGGGGCCTTGGCTGGGGCCCACCCAGCAGCCTCCCGATGGCATGCTGGGGCGGACGCGCTCTCTCCGGCCGCGGGAGCCCCTCCCCGCCAGAACAGAGAGAAGGCAAAGGGAAGGAATTCCAGAGACACCAGCAGGGAAGCAGAGCGCCTGGCCCTGGCGCCACCTGGCCCCTGGAGCGGGGGTAACGGAATGACCAGGGCCAGGGCAGGGCAGGGCAGCAGGGGTGACTGGGGCTGGAGGCTGGCTAGGGACGAAATGTGGGCTGGCAGGCCGGCGTGCAGGGGACAGGGGCAGGGCTGGCGGCCGGGAGAACCAGAGGCTGAGCGTACAGTGGCTACCAAAGCAAGGGGGCCGGACTGCGGTGGAGGAGGTGGCCAGAGAGTCCCTCTGCGGGCAGAAGCTACTGGAACGAGACAGGAACACGGGGGACCCCCTGCGCTCCCGAGGAGCCCCCAGAGATGCTGACAGGAAGTTATCTGCCCAGCGGTCTGGGCTCTGAGCTAGTCTGGGCTCTGAGCTAGCGTGCGAAGCTGGAGGCGTGGCTCCGCGTCAAGGGGCCCCTCCCTTCTGTCAATGCAGTTCCTGCTGAGTGTTTTACCATCAGACCTGGAGAGAGAGCATGCTCCCCTCATTACCCTCCCCCCAGACTCGGCCCCAGGCGAGGGGAGGGAGAGAGCAATGGGAGGCGGGACGTGGGGGCGAGGGGTCTACTGGGTCTTCTTGTCTTCAGGGGGGTAGTAAGGAGGCGGCGGCGGCTGGCTCTACAAAGGAAGAAAACGAGGTTCACGTTAGAAGGTTAGAAGGAGCCGGGGTCTCCCCGGTCCCCGAATCCCAGCCACCCGTGGCCACCCCGCTCACATGCCCACGCAAGTCCCACTGGCGGCACCCCCCCCCCACTCACCATGGGCATGTAGACGTTGTGTGGGTTGCCAGGGTCGTAGTAAGCGCTGGCAGCTGCTTCTGCGGCCTTGGCCTCGGCTGCAACGGCAAACACGTCAGGGCTAAGCCTCCCCAGGGCTGCTCCCGGCCCAGTGAGCCAGCCCCCCACCGCCCAGGGCAGCTGGTGTTGAGACCCAGTTCTCTTGAGAAGACAGCATCACTGCCTCCCTGGCACTCACCATGGGGCCACCCTGTGCTCTCCTGTCACCTCTAGTCCTCACCACAACCACGCCAGGGGCGCGGTTACCACCTGCCGGCAGCGGCGGAGGTACAGAGGGGCCCTTCCTGGTGCCAGGGCACACCGGAGCAGCTAAGAGCAGAACGCTGGAACCCTAGCTCCTCGCCCTGAGCCCATCGCACAGTCGGTCCCCAGGCCAGGGGGCATGCACCATCTGGGGCTCGTAGCCGGCCTCTGGTCGCTCTCTGCGACCCTCCGTGCTGCCGCGGGGACAGGGCTGGTCTCCCAGGACCGCTAGGAGCCTGAGGTCTCCTCACCTGCAGGGGTGGCGGGGACTGCAGGCCCACTGACCGGCGGCTCCATGGGTCCGGGGTAGGGCGGCGGCGGGGGGTGCACGTACCCCATGGCCCCGTCCATCATGGGTGGTCCAGGGTAGAACTCTGCTCGGCGAGAGAGGGACGGGACCCGGTGAGCAGCCCGGCCTCCCCGGCCCCTCTGTCAGCCCTGCGGCAGGTCACAGCCCGCGGCTCCCCTCTGCACCGCCCTGGCCGGGGTGGGGCTGGTTAGTGGGCGGGGCGCGGCGTGGGCAGCGAAAGACACACACTCACCAGGCGGGGGCGGTGGGTAGGGGTAGCCAGGAGGGCAGGGGTACATCCCGTTGGCGACGGGCGGGGGAAAGACATAGGCCCCGCTGGGCAGGTAGGAGTACCCGTAGGCTCCAGTGGGGGCTTCGCCTCGGGAGGCTACAAGTACAGGGGAGAGAGAAGTGAGCGCCTCGGCCTGGGGCTGGGGAGAGGGCGGCCCCGCCCGGCGCGGGGAGCCACTGGGTGCCGGGGCGTGCACGTGCACAGCAGACCTGCCTCACCCCACCCCGCCCTGCTCCCCGCCCACGCCTGAGCTGGCCTCGGTCGGAAGGAGGGGAAGGAGGGGAAGGAGGGGCAGGAGGGGAGGGGCCGGGATGGGGAGAGAGGTCGGAGTGGGAACAGGGTGGAGGGATGGAACCGGGTGGAGGGAGGGCTGGGGGCGGAGGGGGCGGAGGCTCAGAGACGGGGTAAAGAACGGGGCTGGGGGAGGCTGGGCGAGGTGAGGGGCCCCGCTGTGCACGTCTCCGGGCGATTTAAAATGGCCGCCTAAGGGGGGCTCAACTGTTGGGCATCTTGTTTTTATGCGGCCACAGTCAAGTGTCCTTGGGGCCAAACAGCTTCGTCAAAATGCCCTTTCCTGCTGCAGGTGGGGACCCCAGCCTGCCTGTGTCAGGCACAGGACAGAGTGACGCTAACCCCGGCTTCCTGCCCAGCTCCCAGCCCCGGTCAGCCCAGGGCCCAGAGACTTACCTCTTCAGAGCTTCAAAACACAACGAAAAGGAAACAAACTCAAATGAACAAAAAGCCACACACGATGGCCTCAGCCCCCAAGTTCTAGAGCCTCTTTACCTTGCGACGCCACCTGCAGCATCCGCTGTCCGAACTCGATGGCGCCCCCTGCCGCGAAGGTCAGCTTGTAGGAAGCAGAGCCCTCCCAGCCGCCTGGAAGGGACAGCACAGTGACAGCTCAGGAGAGAGGGCCGTCTGCCCTCCCCAGGTCCCTGTCCGCGCCGCCCGGGAGGCTGTGGGGAGGGGCTGGCTCCACAGCATCTCGGCTGGACTGGATGCTGGCCTCCATGCCAGCGCCAGGAGGCTGCCTGCTGCAAAGTGGGGGCGTCTCCTTCCCGGAACGAGCTGGTCCCCCCACTCGGCACTGTGAGTGCGTCTGCACCAGGGCCCCCAAGCAACAAGGCGTCCCGGGAGCAGGTACAGTCGGCGACCACCAACACTCAAGTTCAGAGCGCATCTCAGCCCGAGGGGGCCTAGGGGTGGCCCCCGGCCCCTGCAGCTCTGAGCTCCTGGGGCTGGCAGGGTGTGAGGGGCAGAGTCTGCCACCAAGCAGGGCCTCCTGGGCATCACAGAGGGGCGGCTGGCTCCTCCTGGCTCCAGGGAAAGGCCCTTCCCAGACCCTGACCCAGTTCCCACCCACCCCTCAGACCTGGACCCGCCGCCCAGCAAGGCGGGAGAGCTGCCCCTGCAGCGCCAGCACCCCCCGCCCCCCGCCCAGGTCTTGTCAACCAAAGGCCACCTCTGCGCCACAGCTGGCAGCCCCGGTGTTAGTTGTGGAAGCTGGTTCACACCCAGGGAGAGGACAGGCTGGGATGACAAGGGACCCAACAGGCACCCCCAGGGCAGCGGTCGGAGCTGCCCCACAGCCCCTCCCCCGAAGCCCCGTCGGCGCAGCCGCAGCCCGCACCCACCTCCGGCCTCTGCCTTCACCGTCCCCTTGATGTAGTTCGCGCCGAACACGGGCTGCTTGATCTCGCAGTCCTTCATCAGGTAGAACGGCATCATGAAGGACTGCATCGCGTCCTTCCCCTTGGACAGGAAGATGACCTGCCGGGAGAGGGGACGAGCACCATCAGCGGCCGAACCCCGGCCCCCAGCCCTGGCCCCCCTTCCTGTGGGTGAGGAGCCCACGCCAGTGCTGGGCGGGCAGCCCGAGCCAGGGTCTGGCAGCCAGAGCTCTCTCTGCTCCAGACAGTGGTGGAGGGAGCTCTTTAAAGAGAAGGCCTCACACGGGGAGGCCAGATGTGCGCAGAGAAAACCAGTGTGCTGCTCCCAGACAGCACGAGGACAGACGGCTCTGCCGCTCCAGCGGTGGCGAGGGGGTGACGGATGTGCACAGGCGGGCAGAGCTAGGGCAGAGGGGCAGGCCCAGGGCAGGGGGACTCCTGAAGGGAGCAGTGCAGCCGAGCCCGGCAGAGCTGACGGCGAAGATGCGGCAGGGGTGTCGGGGCTGGGACTCGGGGGCCGTCGTGACCTTCCCTCCGACTCACTGCCCAAACTGCAAGAGTCTCCCACCCGCGCCTGCAGAGCCTTCTGTTTCCAACCCACAACTCCGGTGACTGAAGACGCCACCTGACCCATCAGAAGTGGGTGTCACTAGCCCTGGCTGGTGTGGCTCAGTGGATTGAGTGTGGGCTGCAAACCAAAGGGTCGCCAGTTCCATTCCCAGTCAGGGCACATGCCTGGGTTGTGGGCCAGGTCCCCAGTGGGGGCCACATGAAAGGAAACCACACATTGATGTTTCTCTCTCCCTCTCTTTCTCTTTTCCTTCCCCTCTCTCTGAAAATAAATAAATAAAACCTGAAAAAAAAAAAAGAAACGGGTGTTGAGCCTCTCCCTCCTCCACTAAATCCTGGTGACTAATATTGGAAGATCTCTTCCTCTTCCACCCATTCAAGTCGAACTCCTGGGTATCGACAGATTCTCTTCCAAGAATGTGCATCTGCGTTTCTCTGGAAGTCTCTCGGCAGCTGCCTGGGTGACCTGAGGCAAGAACCACCGTGCAGACCGGCACTTCTCGCTCAGCGGGGTTCCGCCGGGCTCTCTGCCCGGTCCCGAGGCCGTGGCCGCGCTCCCGTTCGCCACGTTCGCCACTCTGGGTGTGCAAAAGGCCTCGCAGGCTGCCCTCAGAGAAACCAAACTAACAGCAGCCTTCCCCTCCAGGCCCAGGTCTGCCCAGCAGCTGCACCCACACACAGAGACTTTGCAGTTCTGCGACTTGCACGGATTCACTGCCCGGTGCTCCGTTCGGCTGTGCGGACTGCCCGGCGGTTCTGGAACCCAGAAGCGTGTGGCAGAGGAACACTCAGAGTGAGGAATGAACACACACCTGGGTCACAGGCCACCAGACTCACCAGGCTGAGGCTGACCTCAGCCTGCCAAACCACCCTCGTGCTGCGCCACTCACCCGGTAGGGGGTAAGGTAGACGGTGCCCTTCTTGGTCCCTTTGAAAGCCTCGGGCACGTTCTTCATGTCGTTGAACGTAAGTTCCACATGGTCATAGGACATGAGGATGCTGCAGGGAGGAGAGGAAAGTCCCCGATGAGACTGTCTGCAGCCATGACCTGTTACCCGGGGACCGGACTCTGCAGGTGCGCAGGTCCCCAGCGCGTCATCCCTTTAACAGTTCCAACACTGCTGCCACGAACCCTCACTGCAGCCGTGCGACAGCCGGGAAACTTGGGGTTCTACAGAATTTCCCCAAACCCCACTACGCAACCCGAGTGGCCAGCACGGCAGAAGAGCCCCGGGGAGCCCCAGGGCTCTCCAAGCCGGTCGGATTCTCTGCGTTAACCCTCCCACTTTCTTCTGAGTCCTTATGACACGCGTTGTTTTTGTCAGTTCGTTGTTCAATCCCGTCGCCTACCCAGTACATGAGCGCTGACTTCAGCATCCCTTTACACTGGGATTCCTAAGCGGGGACCCTGCACACACATTTTCCTGGGAAAACCTACAGCTCTCGTCGCTCTCAAAGGGGTTCACGACTTGAAGAGTAGGGTTGACTGTTTTACAGGTGAGATAGTAAACGCTAATTTAAACTTCCACTGCTGTAACCACGTGTTCTTCAGCGATGAGGCTGAGGCACTTACTTCCTGAAACAAGGCACACCGTTCCTTAGCCACACTGAGCCCTAGGCCAGGTAGGAGGCCCCACGGGACACATACAGTCCCGTCCCAGAAAAGTCTCACTGAGACAGTGAGAGAAACAGTCCCGGGAGATGTTACTGAATGGCATCAAAAGTGTGTCAGGCCAGGGACTGGCGGGCACGCAGCGGCTCCACTGGGCGCAACGGGAGGTTTCTCCAATTGTAAGATAACGAAGTGGGTCTCAGTTCAGTGGTGCCTTTGTCTTCTCCTCCTCCCCCCAATCACGACTCTTTCTCACCAGGGAGGGGTCACGGGAAGGGGACTGGTGTCAGACAAGAAGGACAGCGCAGAGGAAAGAGGCCGTTACCGGGAACAGGATGGTCTGGAGAACTCTGGGCAGGTAAGACGGAGGGAAAGCTGGCATTTTTGGGCCAGGGACTCCGGCGTTCTCCTGACTCACCAAGCACTCCCGAGCGACAGGCACTGGGCTAGGTCCAGGCTACAAGGCTCTGAGCCCACCAAGTCTCCTCTGAGGCCTCAGGTTGCTCCTGCACTCCTGCCTTCAAGAAGAGCTCCAGGCTCAGCATGGCTCAGCCAGAGCCGCCTGGTCTGATTCTCAGCGCCCGGGGAGCAAGGAGAGAGGGAAGCCATCCAAGGAACCCAGATGTTGGAGGAGGGGCAGAATTAACTGCCGGGGTGGGGTGGGGGGGTTGGTAGAAAGCATCTTGAAGTTGGGAGGCCTCCGTTGCAGGGAGTTACCCAAGCCAACAGGAGAAAGAGGCAAAAACGGACCTTTGTATGGACGGACACGGTGGCAGGAGACGTGTCTCTTGACAGGCATTATCTATGTAAGTTCACCTCTGGCCTATTTTTCACCCGAGCGGTTCTGGAATATGCTAGAAGGCTATTGATTCTGGAGTAAAGATTCCTTTCCTGGAACCCCGTCTCTATTACTTTCCCTACATACAAAGTGTGTCCACTAATCGCATCTAACCCACAGGACTTACGTATTAAAGGCAGGAAAGGAGCAGTGCCTGACGTAGTAACATGTCGGTAGTAACATAGTAAACGTCCAGTAAACGGCAGTTATTCTTGTCTAAGGCTTTTCCCATCACGAAAGTCACCGATTCCGGGAAAGGGCTTAAGAACTACCCCTAGACCCCACTTGCTTCCAAAAAACCCCGAACCCGCTCAGCCGCCCCAACCCCATCGCACAGCTGATCGTGACTCTCGGCCCCTCCCTCCCCGCCCGCGACCCACCCACCTTCCTCCAGCCCCGCCTCCGCCGTCCCCCCCACCCCCAAACACCGCACCCCATCAATTTCCACTCCTGGCCGAGTTACTCCCCAGAGCCCACCGCCCAACGTCCACACTCTTCACACTCTTGTCGCCCTCCCTTCGATCCTCCAGGATCCTTTCGCAGTGTTTTCACCTCTCGGTGTTGTTGACGATCACTCCGCCGCCCTCCGAGTGATTCTTGTTGAGCGCCATAGTCTCTCGAAAAGGGGTCCCGAGACTCGTAACGCAGTACGCTTGCGCCCCTCTGCGGCCCGCCCCTAGTGGCGTCGTTCGTATTAGGATCAGCCAATCACAGCTCTCGAACGGAGGCTGGCCCAACCACATGACCTCCGAGCATCACGTGGTAAGGCTTTACTCCCTCTCCCCCTCGTTTCGCCGGCATCACAAACAAGTTGAAGACTACAATTCCCAGAAGGCAATGCTCCCACCACCTCGCATATGCTAATCAAGATGCATTCTGGAACTTGTAGTCTTTCAGACTATAGGCCTGGAGCGACTCTAGCTGGCATCACTAATGCTCATGTACAGTCCCCACCTAGTCTTGAGAGCTACTGGAATAAACAGTTGGCCATATCACAGGGGATTAATCACAAAAGCCCTGATGGTGTAAAATGAGGACTGTAACTTAAACCTGCTGTGTGGAAAAACCTTACGGGGACATCCCACTCAATGAACATTTTACGTGACTTCACCCCCACTCTGGTACAGTAGGGGTGAGCCACATTCAGGGGTGTCCAACCTGTGGCCTGCGGCCTCATGCAGCTCAGGATGGCTGTGGATGCAGCCCGACATAAAGTCGTAAGTTTACTTTAAAAATTATAAGATTTTTGGCCCTGGCTGGTGTAGCTCAGTGGATTGAGTGCAGGCTGCGAACCAAACCATTGCAGGTTCAATTCCCAGTCAGGGCACATGGCCTGGGTTGCAGGCCAGGTCCCCAGTGGGGGCCACGAGAGGCAACCACACATTGATGTTTTTCTCTCTCTCTTTCTCTCTCCCTTCACCTCTCTAAAAAACTAAATAAATAAAATATTTAAAAAATTATGAGATTTTTTTGGTGTGTGATTATGTGTAGGAATGAATTTAATGCGTGGTCCAAGAGAACTCTTCTTCCAGTGTGGCACAGAGATGCCAAAAGGTTGGACACCCCCTCTGGAGTGCAAGGCCCAGTCTGTTTCAGGCGGTGATGGGTTAGCTGGCAGGCAGATTAGAGTCAGGAAAAACTGTCACCCCCTTTATGACGTCAAACCCAGACCCTCACAGGTCTCGAGAATCTCCCAGTTCCCCCACCAATTTACTGTCCCCTGGTGCGCCCCAACCTCACTGCCTGCTCCACCACAGCTGGCCTCGAGGTGGCGCTGCTCCTCTACAATGTTCTGGCTTCGCAGTCCAATTAGCTCCCCAGTGGCCGGGCTGGAAGATTTAAACAAGACTGAACAAAATTAGGCACAGTGTGGGACTGGCAGCTTACAGAATAGGGCTGACTTATCTTGTAACCCCGCACTGGGTGACCCCCATTGGGCATATGTAGTTAGGTAAACTCCTCCCACCTCCCAGGGGGATGTTTAAGGGGGGATGTGAGCATCTCACTCCCCACATGGTGGTGCTGGTGCATCATTAATCTTAGGACTCAGAGTTTGATTTGAGATAAGCCACTGATTTACTGACAGCTGGTGGCCAACCTCCGCGTGCACCTACTTGCCTTAATCCTGTGAGTGATATATCCTAGATGAAGGATCACAAACTAGAAAGATTATTAAACAGATAACAACCTCATGTGAGTCTCGTGCAAACCCAGGTCGCACCTGGCAGGACAATTGCAGTGAAGTTGTGTGCAGCCAACTCGATGAACTCTGCCCCAGATGGTCAGATGACTTTTCACACGTGAAACCTATGCAGCCATTGAAAACAATGAAGTGAATTTCCATGTGCTGAAATGGAAAGATTGCCAGGGCTTCTTACACACAGAATGATGCATAAAAAATAGGGTCTAGCCCGGCTTGTGTGGCTCAGTTGGTTGGGTGTCATTCCGCCAGGCAAGGGGTCTCCAGTCTGATGGGTTTGTCCATGAGTCGGGGCACATACAGAAAGCAACTGATAGATGTTTCTCTCTCACACAAATGTTTCTTTCCCTCTCTCTCTCTCCCTCTCCTCTAAAAACAAATAAATAAAATCTTTATTAAAAATAGGATCTAGAGCTAAACTTTCTGGAAAGATCCGCTTTGGCATTATCCCACTGAGGCATGGGTCTTGAAATTGGGGTTGGCTGTGGCTTGGTGTGAAGTGTGTACTCTTGTACACTGTTTATTGTGCACATTTAAAAAATTTTTTTAATTTATTTTATTTTTTTAACATATTTTCCAGGGCAACTTTCTGCCACTTTATGTATTTTATTTATTTATTTTTAGAGAGGGAAGGGAGGGAGAAAGAGAGAGAGAAAAACATCAATGTGCGGTTGCTGGGGGCCGTGGACTGCAACTCAGGTATGTGCCCTGACTGGGAATCGAACCTGTGATGCTTTGGTTCACAGCCCGAGCTCAATCCACTGAGCTACACCAGCCAGGGCTTTTTTTTTTTTTTTTAATAAGAATTTGAGCCAAACTGACAACAGGCTAGGGAGCAAGATCTCAAATGCTCTACTCTGCACATTTTAAATAATAATTTCAGAAAGAAAGAAAACCAATCTGGTCATGGGTACGTAAGAACAGCAGCTGTAAGGACCATGAAAAGGAAGGTGGGACAACACTCCAGTCCCACCAATCCCCTTGCCAAACTTGGTTGGTGGCAGAGGTAAAAGCAGATTTTGTGGAGCCTGAAGCTTTTACAATTTTGGAGGCTCTGCTGAAGACCTTGTGAACCATTGGCTGGTGGCACCAATTCAACACCAACAGGAACCCCCAATGTGGGGAAGAAAATGTTATTCAGTGCGAAACAGCTCAGTAGTGAACAGCACAGCTGTGAAAACAAGAATGGCTGTGAGGTGACCCTGGGGCCAGGCTCCTCTTTAGCCAGACAGCGGACAGCTCTGCATAGGCCTGCTCTGGGCTACACTGGGCTGCTCCGACACAGACATTCAGTGTTCCAGTTCCAGCCAGGGGACCCGACTTTCAAAGGCAAAGTCCTTGCCCCTGCTCCCTGGTTGGCCCATGTCATGCAAATGAGGACTCCAAATCCTCACAGTTTGATTGGTCCAAAAGGCACTGTCCTGATTGGTCAGAATGGAGCTGCTCTGATGTAGATAGAGCTGTGCCAGTTCCAATTGGATGGAGAAAGCCTCAGTCCTATTGGTTGGGAAAGAATTCCATGACCTCCTTTATAAGGGCTGGCTCAGGTGGTAGGAACGTAGTGCAGGTTTCTTCCTGAAGCATGGTTTGCCCAAGAGGTCCCCTGTGTATAGACATGGCTGCTAGGTTCTGTTTTTTTTGTTTGTTTGTTTTTTCATTTAATCTCAGTTAGCCACCAGGAGCCCTTTTTAGTAGATATCTTCTTTCTCCGGGCCCACAGACTAACAGACACAATCAAGAGTACACAGTGCTGTGGCCGCACTGAGGTCCCCTGACAGGAAGGGAGAAGTGATAAAGAGGAAGTCAGAGAGGAGAGCGATAGCGGGCCTACTGATTACTTACAAGGCCAACTTCGGCAAATCTTGTGAAAACATGGTTAGGGCTGCTCCCAGCATCCACACCGAATGGCTCAAGGGCAGTTGGTGGCTGAACCGAGTCTGCGGCTCAAGTCCCTGTCTGGGCCCCAGGCTCAGCACTCAGTCCTCTCCTGCCTTCTAGGTTCTGCCTGTTTCCAGAAACGGTCCCTTTTCATTGAACTGTACTCGCTCCTGTTCTCCAGAGCCAAGTATCCTGAGCAGTGTGCTAAGTAGGGGTGTGGCCATGCTGGAGACGCACTGCTCCCCTCACCCCAGGACAGCCAGGTAGTGTCCAAGGCGAGAGGGCCCTGGACCCTCTTGACCCCCAAGAAGCTTCATCTCTTTCCCCCAGTGAGCAGAACAAATATTATTTGTGCCGAACAGATAATCATTTTCTCCTTCTCCTCCTCCTCCTCCTTCTTCCCCCCTTTGCCTCCTCTTCCTCCCCTCCCCTCCCCCTCCTGCTCCTCCTCCTCCTCCTAGGGGAAAGGAGGGAGAAAGAGGGAGAGAAATATCAGTGTGTGGTTGCCTCTCACACGCCCCCTACTGAGGACCCCGCCCACAACCCAGGCATGTGCCCTGACTGGGAAATCAAATACACATGAATGTATATTTATCAGTGCAACCGAAAGAGTAAAAACCTGTTTGGGACTGAAAGAGTAAAAGTCAGCTTAGGCTGAGGCCCTGGCCAGGTAGCTCAGTTGGTTAGAGCATCATGCCAATGCACCAAGGTGGTGGGTTCGATCCCATTTCAGGGCACACACAAGAATCAACCTTTGAATGCATCAATAAGTGGAACAACAACAAATCTCTCTCTCTCTCTCTCAAATCAATCAATAAATAACAATTCTTTTAAGATTTTATTTATTTATTTTTAGAGAGGAAAGGGAGGGAGAGAGAGAGAGAGAGAAACATCAATGTGCGGTTGCTGGGGGCCGTGGCCTGCAACCCAGGCATGTGCCCTGACTGGGAATCGAACCTGCGATGCTTTGGTTCGCAGCCCACGCTCAATCCACTGAGCTACGCCAGCCAGGAATAAATAACAATTCTTTAAAAATCACCTTGGACTGAAGCATGAAGACTGCCTGCAGTCAATACGGGTAGGAGGCGAGGTGCTGGTGAAGCCCACAGCAGAGCTACAGGGACCCGCTTTCTCCCAAGGTCGTGCAGCAGCTGTCACAGGTTATGACGACCCCCGCCTCGGCAACTGCTGCCTTCTCACCAGAGATACCCCCAGACAGGCTTTGCAGCTCTGAACTATCGGTGCAATGCCCAATGCCAAGCCCCTCGCCTCGTGACAGTACCCAATCCCTAGTTCATCCCAGCTGCCTGTAGTCCCTGCTCAGAGACGGCAGCCCCTCCACAACCGACTGCAGGTCCTGGCTTCCCGTAGACCCCCCTCAGAATCCTCCAGAACCCAAGCCTGACAAGAACTGCTCCCCCCCTCCCCCTGGTGCGCGGCAGGGCGCCTTGGGATGACCCTGGAGGCTGCATCTGCTGACGGCGATGAGGCTTTACTAAAACAACCCTCCTGGAACGCACCTACTGTCTCTGTATGTTGCACAAGGAGGTATCGCTGTCCCATTAGGCACGAGTTCACGGGAAAGTCTCGCTGTAATCTTGCATGCACAGGAAAAGGCCCCTGGTGGGCCAGCTCAGCGGTTCCCCTTAGAAGGGCCGTTTGACAGGAAAAAACTCCCAGAGAGGCCCTGTTCGGCCAGAGGTGACTGCAATGACTGCAGCGGCTGGGTGGGTTGTTGGGCGGGTGGCTGACTCATTTCCCAGAAAAACTCTTCATGCCATTAAGGTTTATCTACATTTAAATAAGATTATCTAAAATCTAAATTTAGATAATTTTATCTAAAAAATTGCTGAAGCATTTAATCATGAATGCTTTCATGATTTCCCCCCAGGAAGGAGACTGAATTGCATCAGATTTAAACAACAACAACAAAAAAAAGACTTGCCCAGACCAGGTTTGGGACAAGTTTTATTTCGTATTGTGCTCTAACAATCTCAATTCTACATTTTTGTTACTTTAAAAATTGCTAATTGTTTTGCACTGAATTGATTTGGCAACCCTCGGTTTGAAAGCCCCCACTTCCCCCTCCAGAACAAAGGCCTGCTGGCGTGGGGCTGGGGCGGGGAGAAGGGAGAAGGGAAGGAGGAGAATAGCTCCCGCTGGGCTGGGACCTGCACCCACCCAGCTCCCGGAGCTGAAGTTGTGCCCTGTTTCCGGCGCCCTGAGCGCTGTGCTAGAGGGTGTGCCTGTGATTTAGGTTGTTCTCAGCCTCTCGGGGAGGCGGGACCGTGGCTTTGCTCTTCCCGTGGTAGGAGACTCGAAAGGCTGGAGGCAGTTTTCCACCTCTGGGCCAAGAGGGGTGGCAAGACGTCTCGTCTCCACGGAGGCCTGTGGCTCCTCTAACAGTTGTTCTCAGCGCTGGCTGGACACGGCACTTTCCAGATGCTTTGAAGATACAAAGGCCCAGGCTTTTGTTTGGGGGCAAGGCCTACTGTGCGTAGCTAGGGCTGTGGGAGACCAAGGCTTGTGGGGGGCAGGCGCGGGTGGGGGGCAAAGTGGCTGGGCCTAGAGAGGGGAGGGGCGTGCTGTCCAGGGGCAGAGTTTGGAGGGTTCTCCCGCGCTAGCCCCTCGCACTCCCTGCCCCCACCTGCAATCCCCAGAGGCGGGGTGTCGGCACTGGGGCCCGAACACGGAGAACCGTGGTGTTGGTCTGTGTGAAAGGGTCCATTCAGGAGGCAGAAATGACCCCAGCTCTCTGCACAGAGAGAAGTTACTAATAAAGAATGAACACAGGTATAAAGCAGCGCATGTCACTTTCAAGTTAGATGGATAGGTAATGGACGAAGTGAAACAAATAAATTCTAAGGTGTCCAGAGGTGTACACAGCAGCCACCAGCCCTAGGGCCGGGGGACCGAAGGGCGAAGTTGGAGGAAGTATTGGGACACAGAGGCTTGGAGGAAGAGCCCTTGGGAACTACAACCCAGCCCTCGGAGGAGGGGCCGTGCCCTCTGGTGCTGGTGTCTCTGAAGGGGCTCCAGGCGCCTGGTAGTGCAAAGGCTGCTAAAATTACAAACTGCTTTTAGCTGCAGCTGAGAAACAGCGGCTGCGGAAGCAGAAGCCTTCCTGCGAGGACGGTGGAAACACCCGCAGCCCGGAGGCGGGCGGGCGGCGCGTTCTCCTCCGGCCCGGCAGCCCTCTGGCGCCCCCTGTCGGCAGAGCCTGGCAGGGAGCCGCCGGCAACGGAGAAAGGCGGCCCCCGCAAGGTCCCAGCCCCCGCACCAGGGAGCTGAATTTAGAGGGTGGGTGTCAGGGGTTGACTTGTGTCCCCCTCCCCAGATCCACATGTTGAAATCCTAACCCCAAGTACCTCCGAATGCGGCCTTATTTGGAAGTCAGGCTATTACTCACCTGATAAGATGAAGTCACCAGAGCAGGCCCTGATCCCATTGGACTGGGTGTCCTTACAAAAAAGGGAAATTTGGACAGAGCTGCACAGGAGGAACGCCATGTAAAGATGAAAGCAGAGATCTCCGAGCCAGGATCGCCAAATATTGCCAGCAAACCCCCAGGAGCTGGGGGGGGGGGGCGGGCCGGTTGTGTGTGGCCTGGAACAGACACTTCCTCCCGGCCGCGGGAAGAACCCGTCCCGCCAACACCTTAATCTCGGACTTCTGGCCTCCAGCCGGAGACAGTAAATACCTGCTGTTAGGCCACCGAGTTTGTAGTGCTTCGTTCCGACAGCCCTAGCCGGCTACTGGAGAGGGTTTGGAGCAGAAGGCCAAGTTCGGTGCAGCCCCGAAGCCTTGCTCGGCTCCGGGGAGAAAGAGGCTCAGCAACGAGGGCCAGCCGGGCTTGGACAACGGTCGTCTCCGCGGCTGCCGCGGTGGACGGGACATTTCCGTCCCGTGGGGGAGCCCTCCCGCCTTACGGAGCCGCGCAAACCCAAGATGATCATTCTGTGGAGGGCACCTGAGGTGCCTGAGGTTGAATTTCTTACCCTCTTGGCAAAGGGCAACTCATAATACATTTTGATTTAGGAAAAAGACCAAAACAAACACCTCTTATGCCTGAGGGTTATGGAACAAATTCGTGCCTAACACACCACTTTTTTTTTTTTTTTTTTTTTTCACTCAGCCAGCAGTCATCTTTCAGATGAGCCAATGAGACAGAGAAAACTTTTGGTAACCCTTAATAACTTTCTTGCCGTTCATCGGCTGCAGGTCCGTGAGCTGCGAGAACAGAGTGGCAGCTGCCAGTGGGGCGGGGGTCTTGGAGGTGGGAATTTCAGTAAGAGGAGTTCCTCGCTTCTCCATCAGGAGGCGGAGCCAGGGCCTGTCTGGGGCTGTTTGTGGTTGCTATGGAGATGAGCCCCACCCCGAGGTTCGCGGTCCAGACCTCCCTGCTGTGAAGTCCGGTTTGTAGCTGCAAGGCCCCGCTCTGAGCGGTTCCTGCTGCAGGGGTGTTTACACAGACCGGCCGGTCCGTTTCCACGGCTGTGCCTCCCGAACCCCAGAAAGCTGGAGGGGGGCAGGCCTCGCCTCTGGGGGTGTCCAGTCCCGAGGAGCCACGCCTGGACGGCACTCAGGGAAGGGGGAGCCAGGAGAGGCTCCTGGGGCCCTGGGCCCCTCCCTGCTATTTCAGGGTCCTCCGCCCCAGAGCTGGGGGTGCCCATCTCCCTGGAAAGATGCCAGGTGGGGCAGCCTCAGCCCCTCTCATCCTCTTATTTCTCTCCTTAAAGCCACTGCTCACCTGAATCACAGACTGATTTTACACTTTCCAATCCGATTGCATTGTTTCCCGGTGTGAAACCCTGCCGTGGCTTCCCGCGTTGCTCCAGAATCCCGACCGGGCTCTGTCCCTCCAGAACCGGCCTGTCCACCTCATGCCTCCTGCTCTTCCTCCTCCAGGCTGGCCCCCCCGGAGTAATCAAGCCCAGTTCCAGCCCGTGCCCACCCTTTTTGTCTTGCTAGCGCGTCCTTGGCCTTTAGACCTCGGCGGTCCTTTCGGGGAGGGCCTTCCGGGAAACGCCCCTCCCCCAGCCCTCCCAGGGCCCCCTCTCAGGGCCATTGCCTTGCTGTTTTCCCCTGGTATCTGGGAGTTTGTGTTTCATTTTGTAGTGCAGAGGACGCAGAACTTTTCCTCTATTTTTTTTAGCCTCTCCAGCTGGGACTGAGAATTAAGTTGACATAAAACACATCAACAGGAGAAAAACACAAATTTTATTTTATTTTTTAAGATTTTATTTTTAGAGAGGGAAGGGAGGGACACAGAGAGAGAGAGAGAAACATCAATGTGCAGTTGCTGGGGGGTCATGGCCTGCAACCCAGGCATGTGCCCTGACTGGGAATCGAACCTGCGACCCTTTGGTTTGCAGCCCGCACTCAATCCGCTGAGCTATGCCAGCCAGGGAAAATTTTATTTTTTCTACCAGGTCCATAGGAGCCTTCACAGGAAAATAAAGACCCCAAAAACAGTTTGGCCTCAGTGCTGACGTATTAGGTGGAAGAGTAGTAATTGTGGTAAAGAAACTAAAATATGCGAGGGGTCCCATCAAGTCTCTTTAGCGCAAAGCAGTCGCCATACCAAACTGGCGAATTTGGGGGAGGCCCCCTCGGAGCCCCTCGGGGTGCAGTTCAGGAGGCACTAGGCACGTTCACACTCTGGTGTGACCAGCACAGCCTCCTCTCCAGAACTGTATTTCTCCAAACTGCAACTCTGTCTCCATGAAACACTCACTACCCGCCTACCCCCGGCCCCCCGGCCACCTCCCTTCCACTTTCTGTTTCTCTGGGGTTTGCCTTTTCTAAGAAACTCCCGTCCGAGGAATTGCACAAGATTTGTCCTTTCGCGCCTGGCTCATTTCACGCAGCACGTGCCTTCAAGGTTCATCCGTGCGGCCGCACGTGTCAGAACTTCATTTCTTTTTAAAGCTGAACCACGTTTCATCGCACGGACAGACCACTTCGATGTGTCCATTCGTCTTTCAGTGGACATTTGGGTTGCTTCCCCCCTTTGGCGACTGTGAATTGAACATGGGTGTGCACGTGTCTCTGCGAGTCCCTGCTTCCTTGGGGCGTGTCCCCAGAGGTGGAGCGGCTGGCGTTTGCTTTTAAGAAACGCTTGCTACAGCTGCAACGACCCCATAGCCATTTGAGTGGTTCCCTGGGCCAGTGTCCTGCACTGGGTCACTGTCATTCAGTGCCCGGGTCGAAGTCCCCCCCGGTCTTAGCGGGCAGCCTGAACGGAGGCTGGGCTCCTCTGAGCCCTCGGAGAACAGATCCGGGCGTCCCCACCCCACCCCACCCCACCCCACCCCGAGGACGGACCGGTCTTCCAAGAGCTTCGATTCTACTCAGTAATTCAGAGGAATAATAACAACAGTAACACGGGGAGCTTACGCAGTGCCAGGACCCGTGCCCAGCCCTTGGCTTTCACGGTCTCATTTGCTTATCAGAACAGCGCAGTGCGGTTCTAGCCCTCCCCATTTCCCAAGTGGGCAAACTGAGGCTGAGTACCCTGCCCACAGGTGCAGAGCTGGGAGCTGGCGGCAGTGCAATATGTGGGCAACACGTTTTGATTTCAGAGCTCACTCACAAAACCATTCTTCAATTCTGGGGCAGGAAAGCTTTTTTTTTTAAGATTTTATTTATTTATTTTTAGAGAGGGAAGGGAGGGAGAAAGAGAGAGAGAGAAAAACATCAATGTGTGGTTGCTGGGGGCCGGGGCCTGCAACCCAGGCATGTGCCCTGACTGGGAATCGAACCTGCGACACTTTGGTTCGCAGCCCGCGCTCAATCCACTGAGCTACGCCAGCCAGGGAAAGCTTTTTTTTTTTTTTTAAATATATATACATATTAAAGCAAAATTGGAGACGTTATGGAGCAAGAGTCAGAATGTGAATGTCATCAGAAGCGTGGGCGTGAGCTCTGTGTGTCCCGGAGTCTGAGGGCTCTGTGAAAACAGGCCGAGGCTTCCAGGCTGGGCGAAGCCGTTGGGGACCACCCAGGGCCTCGGGCCATGCTCGCGCATCTTCCAGAAGACGTGACTGAGCAGAAAGGGAGTGCCCTGGTTCCCGACGGTGAGCGTTGGCATCCAGGGGGGATGTGTGTGTGTTGGGTGTGGAGCTAACGCGAGTACACCCCGCCGCTAAATGGGCTGTTTTCCTCCCTCGGGAAACACCCGGCAGCCGAGCCCAGCGGAGCCTCTGCAGCCCCCAGCCCCTCCCACTCGGCCCTGCCTCCCTGGCCAGCCCTCCTGCTCGGCCACAGCCTGGGTCCAGCCTCACCCCGCGCCTGGGAGGAGGGGAGGTGAAGGCAGGCACTTCAGTGAGTGTTCCTTGGGAGGAGACGGGGGAGGGGAGGAGAAGGGGGGGGAGGGCCTCTGCCTCTGTCCCCCTGGAGTGTGGGAAGGGGCTGGGAGCAGTGAGGAGGGCAGGACCCCGCAGTCCGAGGGAGGGACGCTCAAGTCCATTGCCTGGTCTGCTGTTTGGAATTCCCGAGCTCATTTTCCCACAGAAACAAAGAAACAAAGCTCAAGTGGAGGCTGGCGTCCTGCCCGGCTCCCAGGAGCCAGATTCAGCTAATAGCCACACAGCCTCAGAAGACACTTCACACCCGCCACCACTGTCTGTGACTGGCCGTGCTGCTGGCAGCTTTGGGGACCGCAGACCCTGGGGCCGCTCCGCCAAGGGCCCTGGGGGCAGTGGAAACCGGGACAGGCTGAGGACAGCTCTCACACAGGCGACGGCTGTGCTGGGCCAGAGGGTGTGCATGTGTGTGCGTGTTATGTGTGTTTAAACGTGTCTAAGCACAGAACACACCTAAGCAGGAGCACGTGCCTGGCCTCCGGCAGCCTTGGGCAGCTCCTGCCATCTCTCTGCCTCAGTTTCTTCCTCTGGAAATGGCAGTGGCAGCTTTGGACTAGATGGGGAGTTTCTAACATATTTTCTTTGTAACAGTTTCTCTTTTGTCCAAGCAATCTTGAGCAGCACCTGCCCTAACTCAAGTGTCGGCGGGGCGGTGAGCCGCCAGCCGCTGCCCCTCCCACCCGGCCAGGCTGCCCTGCCGTGGGCACCGCCTTAGAACTTCAGGTCTTCTCAGGGCACCAGACTGGATTCATACACACACAGTCCGCACACACGCAGATGTATGCACACACACACACGCACACAAGCACACAAGCACAGAAACACAGAGACGCACACACCGACCCCCCAGCTCTAGGGTTCAAGCCCATCGCGGAGAAGGGGCAGGGGTGCAGACGACACCCCCTCCCGGCTGCCGAGGATGCTGACACCTGCGGCCGGCCCACCCAGCCAGCCCCGTGCAGCTGTGCAGCCCCTGGGGTGCCAGCGCCCGCCCACCCGGAGCTGTGGAGCCGCAGTGCTGGGATTTGGGGCGGAGACGCACGAGGCCCCGTGAGTGCCGGGCACTGGAAGTCACTCTGTATGCGGGCAGCAGGGATGCTGTGGCGGCAGACTGGGCGAGTCCGCCCTGAGTCCCGCCCGGGAGGCACCCGTCCCGGCCCGTGTAGCTCCCGTTCTGTGGCGCACCAGGGCCTGCAGGGTCCGCAGCCCAAGGGATCTCTGAAAGGGAACTGTGTGTTGGGAGAGGAGGGGGGCGACAAAAAGTGGGGGACAGGAGGAAATGAGGCACTGCAGGGTGGGGGGGATCTGTGAAAGGTGGCAGGCTCCCAGCAGGTGAGGGGACTCGAGGAAGCCCCCCCACGTGTTGGCAGTCAGAGATCAGCGTCCCCCAAGGGCTCCAGCCCGGTGAGCTGGGGGCCCTCTGCTGCCACGGCAACCAAACTGTGAACACAAAAAACACCGGGAGCAAGGAGGCCCATCCCGGAAAAACAACATCCTGGCGGCAGGGGCTGAAGCAAGGCTCTGTAGGAGGTGCTATTTTTAGCGGCCAAGGCAGCCGGGCAGGACTTGTAGGGCCTTGCCCGTCTGGCCGCATAGCTCGCCCATTGTCCCCTCTGACCTTCGCTGGGCACTGAAAGGCCTCTGTCTGCCTGGTCACCCCCCTGCTGGGGCCTTCTCTGGGGTGTCCCTGGGCCATGAAGAACCAAAGGAGGATGGAGCTGGCCTGGAAACACCCCCGCCCCCCTGCAGCCTCAGGGAGCAGGTCCCTCAGGGAGCAGGTTCCCCCGAAAGCGGAATTGGGGCATCCCAGGCCATGATGGGGGTTTGGGGCAGCGCGGGGCACTGGGCCTTCCTGGGAGAGAAGCAGAGGCTCTGCTGGGGCGCCCGGCGCACAGCTGGGTGCGGAGATGCGAGGCAGACCCCAGAGGAGGCCCCCGGTCCTTGCAGTGCAGAGGTTCTGGGCTCCAGCCACACCACGCTCAGCTCGGCCGCATCCTTCACGGGCCGAGAAGGTGTGTGCGCGAAAGAAACCGTGGGTCTCAGACTTTCTTGCCCACGCCCGGGAGTCGTGCCCTGCTTCCAGGGAGGGGGGGTGATGTCCGAATTGAATCCTGGGCACCCACACCACCATGAGTTGGGTCCAGGGCGGGCTGTGCCCTTAAGGATGGAAATAGCTCGTGGGAACCAGGCCACCCAAAGCAAACACTGGGGCAGCTGGATCCCCACCGCCCCAGCCCAGGACCGAAGAGTCGGCTGCCTCCACAGGCAGGCAGGCACCCGGTTTCAGCTGCCCCTTCGTGGGCCGGGGCTCTCTCCCTTTCGACGGGACCCCTGGCGCCAGCGGCTCTGTCCCTTTCTCCTGCCTTCCAAGACCAGCTCTTGAAAGATGAGAAACACCGGGAATTCTTGGTGGGCGGAGAGAAGGATAGAAAAGGGAGTCATTCATTCGACACACGTTTATTGAGCATCTACTATGTGCCAGGCACTGTCCTAGGAACTTGGAAGAGGAGGGGTTGGGGTGGCCTGC